GGAAAAACAAGAGTTTCCAATTTCAGGGCTCTAGTACAAAACTGAGAAGACAGCAAACAAAGCCAGGAAATTTGTGACTCTGGAACCCAAAAGCAGCAGCTTCCAGAACAAGCTTCTGCCTTGCATAACCATTCCAGTGAGACCTTTCTCAAGCTAAATATCCCAGAGCTTCTATAATCCCAAAGTCCAGTAGCTCACTCTCTCTTAGCTAGCTAAGATTTTTTTGGACTGCTCAAGAAATGCTCCATGTGCCGGTGCTCCCATGCTATTACATTATATACACAGCCTAGCGGGTGATAATGAATGGCCCCGTTCACCCACACAACTGGAAAAGGCACTGAGATTTCTTCCTAACACTGTTTTTACATACTGGATCATCCATATTTTAATTTGCCTTTTGAGGAGTATAATTACTTACTGGAAACACTCTATCATATATTTGACAGCCAATTCCTTGAATAGGAGGATATTTTCCTTTTTCCTTCTTGCCTGCTGGGATGGGAATTGGGACAAGGAATGAAGAGGTTTCAGTGCTGCTCTAGCCCCATATAGCTTCTGCTTTAAGTTCTCCTCCAGTAATCGCCTCRATCACTCCTTAGAGCTTTTCTAAAACAGCAGTAGCAGTATAAAATTGACATGATTTATGACACTTTTATTGCTTAGTGCTAATGGGATTTAGCTGGTGCATGTGTTCCTTGCAGCACACTGGGATCTGTATCAATGTAATGCATTCTATTATTAATACAACCCAATCTGTTGAACTCCTCATCAAATTCTTTGGGAAAATACTTTACAGATGCTTTAGCAGACAATTCATATAACCAGCTGATTGTCTCAAATTGCAGAGTCCATTCCAACCTAAATCAAACATAAAATCCTACAAGTTCTCCTGAATATGCACAGGTAAAGGACAAACAACTAAATTGCTTTGTTGTATAGATTTATTACACATAAATTTCTTCCAGCTCTAACATTTTATTCTCAGTTATACTATACCCTGMGTCTCCATCTGTTATGTAATTTTCTCTGTGTGTTAACAATCACAACACACTGTTATTCTTCTGAATCATCATGTTCAACTCTTTATTCTCCACTTGATGTTCATTACTGTCTTTTCCCTCAGTTCTTCAGAACACCCAGAGATTCAGAACTCCCACAAGGGCAGCTAGGAACATTAAAAGAACTTGGGTATTATTCCTCACCCAGGGTTAGGATATCAAACATTTCATGTAACAGAAGCATTAAAAGTGCAATTTATGTTGATTTTTACCGGCTTTTGCTTGAGAAGTCATTATTAATCTCCTTTCATAGCTAGGCTCTTCTTTCAAGGACTGTGGGGGGATGGAAAGAAGCAGTCAACATGCCTAAGAGCAACTACTGAAAAGAAGCAGAGCAGCTGCCTAGGGGCCCTAAGGTTATGCAGGTCTTTGAGGCAGTCTTAACTTCAATAAAGCACGAGTGTGAGAAGAGTCACATCTTGAGTTTTCCTAAGCAGCTGCAAAGCGAGGGACTGATCAGAAACAGCAGCCAATGTTACAAAACTGTTACACGCTATTACCAAGAAAAGCCTGCAAGAACTAGGCTGACTAGAGGACTTATTAGGCACTTAACACTTACTGTTCTCAAAGACAAAAAAAAAAGGGAGGGAGGGAGGGAGGGAGGGAGGAAGGAAGGAAGGAAGGAAGGAAGAGAATAGCTTAGCTTCACCTGATATTTCCTACCATAAAACATTAATTCTTATTAGAATAAAATTAATAAACCATGTATTGGATAACTAGATGTAAACACAATAACAGCATACGCATTAACATCAACATGCAGTATGTGAGAGCACTCATAACATTGTGCCCATACAGTCTCTTGCATGGAATGATTAATAACACAAGCCAGCAAACTGCACTGTACATATACAAAATGAGTAAATTAGTTTATACTTCACGGTTTTGGTCTTGGATTTCATAAAGTCCATACTTCTACTTTTGCTAAAATCAAAGCGAAAGCTACTAAAATACTGCTGTGGTGGGCTTAAAAGTGATTACAGAACTTCCAGTTTCAACAATGCTTCTGCAGACACAGCAACTATGCTGTATCAATTTAACTAAGAGGACAAGCACCTTCAAATAGAGCTTGCTGCAGAGGAACTGCTCCTCCTTACCTGCCCCAAGATTTAAACCACCTCAGCTACTCTGCAATGATCATCTGACCATGCTCTTACTGAAGCTTTGAGGAACAGAGAATGCTCTGAAAAGGACTGAAGTSCTTATTCTACTCCCACTTACCTGTACAAATGCATATGCTGCCTATGGAAATAAAAGTTCCATAGCGCCAATTTAAACTCTCATTTTCTACATCTACAGAAGTTATGGCTTCCCAAGTTGTGAGGAACAAACCTCAACAACACTTGAAACTTGCCCAATATAATCTCTCACTTTAAGTTGTCTGTGTAGTTGAAGCTAAGGTTTGTTTGACTCTCACTGTAATAATGACCATGTGTCCCACTTCAAATTTCCTAGAGTTGTGCTATAAAACTGATCCATAAATCAGACTAATACAACATGTATAGGAAAACTGGAAGAGTTTTCCTCCTTCCTCACCTCTAAAGTGGCATTGAAATTAAGAATCACTGTGGGTGCTCTTTAGCCATACAAAAATTTCTTCAACGTGCCATTTGGCTCAGTGCCATCTCTCCAAAAGCTTTAACAGATTAGAAGAAGGGCACAAGAAATGACTCAAGTACTTATTTCTGACCACCTTCCTTGTTTTCCAGTTATTAGTTTAGAAAATGGAAATAGCAACTGTATTGTAGCCAGATATATGCTTACCCTCAAAATAATTTCATCTACTACCCTTTATTTACTTTGGTCATGCTTTTGGCCTCTATAACATCCTGAGGAAGTGAGTTCTATGATTTCATTTGCTACGTGTGAAAGAAGACTTCCTTTTAGATCAGCTACCTGTTAACTGTGTGTATTGTTATATGCAGGAAGTAAATTTCTTGATCTTCTTTTGAAAATTCCAGATTAGAGGTACAAACATCAAATACTTGCATAGTTTCCTACCTTCTGAAAGATCTAAACAAACAAAAATAAACCAAAACAACACAAAAATCAGAAAGCTAGCCAAAATTCCAAGCGAGGAACTATTTGATGCTTCAGTCATCAACCATATAGTCCTTCTGCAAATGTGAATTTTTATCCTTGAWTTCTAAGAAGCAGGAGACAAAAGGGTTTCTTTTAGTCACTGAATTGACTAATTGACTGAAGTATTGACTCCAAACAGCTTCCTAAATCCAGTTTATCCATCTGAAAACAGGGAAGAGTAGAATGATGTTCTCAAAGGCATCAAGAAGATATACCCAGTCAAGGGTTTGAGGCAGAAAATCCCTTCCAACAACTTCTCTAGTATACTTTCATCGCTAACTATCAATCCACTCCCTGTGTCAAGGCCAGTCTGTTTTCAAAGAAAATGACAAGTATTCTGATACTAAAGTATAAACAGTGCTTCTTGTACTAAAACTGACAGCTTTGTATCAAAAAGATTCAATAGAGTTTTGTTTATTTAACATCTGTTACATTTTAGATACACTGTCAAGCTCGTGGAAACACTCTGTTCTTTCTTCAGCCCCCTTTTTAGGTTAAAATTTGGAGGAAATATACATGCACACCCACACACACTCTTCTCTACCTCAGTGCCTTAAATGAAATCTGTCCACTAAGATTAAAAGCAAGCAACCCTTTTCCACTCAGTAAGTCCTTCTATTTACATCACTGAAGAACAGCACACACTAGATACTAGATGTTAATATAAATGGAGACAATGTGTTTTTTCACCTACTGGAATTATTACCCTATTTACCCTAGACAAAAATAAACAAACAGATCCATCTCCCCCACCCCCTAGTTGTGTCACTTTGCTATTTAAACTTAGCAGATTAAAGGGGATTTAATGAAATTCACATGAATTCTTCAGGAAAGGAAACTACTCTCATGCCAAAAAAGTAAAAACAGAACATACATTGACAACTGATTCTGCCACAGTAGTAGTAGTTATCACAAAAATAAACATATGTGGGTAGTTATGCATAAGCAGACAAACATATACATACTGGTGTCAAAATAAAGACATTTCATTCTTTCATTATCTAATACTTGAAGAGTAAAATGGCAAAAATCAGACTCATTCTGTAGAACAATAAAACACTTTACTCTGAAAACATTTTATCCTGCATTGAAATGCACAATAAGCTTGAGCACAGCTACATTAAAAGACAGGAATAATGATATAAAAGTGAATATAAAAGTCTGTACAATGCTAAAAAATAGAGGTGAAGCCACCAAATCTTTGAAAGAACTTGCTTTCCAATTTTTATAAAACCTGTTCCACAATCTTAATGGTGCTTTGTTAAAAGTAAAGCTAAGAGAAGCAATGATTTATCCAAAGCTCTAGAAAGCTCTTCAAACACAACCTATGTAATTTAATAATTTATTTTCTATATTTTAAGTAACAGTTTATTTCAGAAGAAAAAAAAATGCAAGTTATTGTTTTGAAAAGTAAATTTTGAAAAATGAAGTGAATGTGAAGTGAATAAGACTGCATTACCCATGTTCACAGTTATTACTCATGTAAAAGCCATAGAATGATTACTGGATGAGTCAGACAAAACAGCTTTTTTTAACTTCTAATTACAAGTTATTTCCTGTAAAACAGCAATCTGTTATGAGTTTATTATTTAAACACATAGAACCCACAGCAGAACTCTTGGATGGAATGGTAAGATACAAGAAATACTTGGATATAAGTGAGGACAAAAGATGAAAAGTGCCTCTCAAGTCTGTGTGTGTTCATGCACATGTGTGCACAGCATTGTTATAATACGACTTATTCGTATCACTAGTGACTTGTTTGGTCCTAACTGAAGTATCTCAGCTAGGACAACACAGACCTTCTTATTTCTTTTGTTTTCGATGCGTTATTCAATTTAGAACAAAAAGTCACCTTACCTTTTTCTTCGTCTATTCGGAAAACTCCTAAACCAGATCCATCTCTGATGGAATATCTAATCTCCCCATCTCGTCCTGCGTCCTCATCATAAGCAGATACTGTCATCACTGATGAACCAACAGGAGCATCTTCTTTTATAAAGCCCTTGTCTGCGAAGAYGGAGAACCGTGGAGGGTGCAAGTTTTCATTTACATCAACTACTTCAACCTCYACATAACACGTAGAGGACAAAGAAATGGGTTTTCCTTTGTCCTTRGCCCGCACAGTCAGATTATAAAGCTGTTTCTTTTCATAATCCAGTCTTTGCACAATACGTATTGCTCCGCTTATTTTATCCACATCAAAGGTACCATCTGCACTGTCCAGAAGGCTGTATCGTACTTGACTTGACTGGCCTAAATCAGGATCGTAGGCTTCTAACCACGTAACAATGGTTCCCTCAGGAAGATCTTCTCGAATTTTTACATGATAATTTGAGGGAATAAATCTAGGGGCATTGTCATTAACATCTTCTATAGATACTTTCAAAGTAACTGTTGAAAATAATTGAGGTTCTTCAGTAGACTGGTCCCTAGCCTCTATTTTCAGGAAATAGACATGCTGTTCTTCACGATCCAAAGCCCCTGCAACTTTCACAACTCCTGTGGCAGCATTAATAGTAAACTTGTCTGTATCTGTAAGAAGAGAGTATTTCACTTCTCCATTAGACCCCAAATCTTTATCAGTGGCTTCAACTTGAATAATTTCACTGTCTAGTTCTTTGTTTTCACGCACTTCAACAAAATAGCTGTCTTGTAGGAACTCTGGTGGGTTGTCATTAGCATCCAAAATTCTTATATCTAAAAGGTGCCAGGCAGACTTCTGTGGTATTCCAAGATCATAGACYGTAATATTCAAAGTATATCTATCTTTTACTTCTCGGTCGAGGGGAGACAAAATTTTCAGCATTCCCTTCTCCATATCAACAATAAAGCTGCTATCTTCGTTACCTCCAGAGATAACATACACTAGCTTTCCATTGAAGCCAGTGTCAAGATCAGTAGCATTCAYGAGTATTATGCTGGAGCCCACAGGCAGGTCTTCTCTCACCTCAATGCCACTGGGGAGACCACTTCTAAACTGAGGTGCATGCAGATTCAGAGAGTGAGTGTCAAAGAAAATATCTTCAACTTCTCCACGACTGTGCAATTTATTTGCTTGTAAGAGTTTCTCTGCCAGCATTTTGGCAACGCCAGTTTCTTCACATTGCAAGCTGACTGGTTTGCGACTGGCAGCTACAGTTATGTTGATATACAACGGTTTTGCAAAGTTCTCTCCATCTGTGGCTGTAATTTTCAAGCTGTGGAAAGATATTTTAGCACCTAGACCGTCTATTAGTGACTGCTTGAGTGAAAGTACCCCAGAATTTGGATTTAAGCTAAATAAATCTAGCTCATTTCCAGATTCAATTTGGTATCTGACCAACTGGAGCTCATCAGCATCAATAGCAGATACAGTAGTTATTTGCTCTCCAACACCAAGATCCCTGGGGATTGTTCCTTCACAATTGATTTTCTCAAACAATGGTATATTGTCATTCAAATTATTTAAAATAATAGTTACAGGAACTTCAACTTCTCGACGATATGGTATACCCCAATCAGAAGCACGGATCCTTAAATTGTAAACCCTCGGCATCAATTCGTAATCCAAGTCTTCTGAAGTACTAATAATCCCATTGAAATGGTTAATCACAAATGGCAAAGGATTTAGGTTTGCAATGCTATAGGTCACATAGCCATTCTCCCCTTCATCAGGATCTTTTGCACTTACTCTCATGACACTAGTACCTATCGGCACGTTTTCATCAAAGGAGGCTTTATAGGATGTCTGAGTAAATTCAGGAGGATTGCTGTTCATGCCCAGTACCTTAATGAGTACTTTTGCAGAAGCTCTTCTGTCACTTGTCACAACTTCAAGTTCAAAATGGGATGAATATTGTGCTTTTATTGGTTCTAAGGTGGTAACGAGACCAGTACGAGGGTTTAAGTTGAATCTTACTTTGCCTGGTGTATTTTTAAAAAGATACTTCAAATGTGGGTAACTAGGTAGAGCTTTTAACATTACCACAGGTGTGCCTGGAGGAGCAAATTCACTTATTTCAGCTCTATACACTTCTTTTTCAAATCTGATCGGACCTAACTTAAACTGTGGTGAGGTTACGTGAATAACTTTTACAGACGAAAACTGTGGAGGGTTCCCTTTATCTTTAGCTTGAAGGGTAAGGTTGTATCCAAATGGGTGGCTCTCCCAGTCAATGTACCCAACAGCTTTGACTCTGTATTCTTTACCTCCTGGAACAGACCTGACTGTTTTGAACTGCTGAAGTGGATCACCAGCAACAATACTTAATGATGCTATTTCTCCATTTGAACCCTGATCATTGTCCTCCACATTTACAATTGCGTAAGTTGGATCCCTGTCCAGTTCTGATGGAGCCAGTGTGACAGCTGTAATTACTGGGGCATATTCGTTTGCTTGCTCTACATGGACAGTAAGCTTTGCCATACTGCTGATGCCACTGCTACCATACAGTTTCATTCCACGGTCCACTGCAAGAATTTCCATCTCATAACGCTTAGTGTCCGAGTAATCAAGTCTACCAGTCAAAACTACCACGCCACTAGTTGGATGTATAGCAAACATATCCGTTCTTTCTTTAAAGCTATAGTAGAACTCTCCATTTGTCCCTATATCTGCATCAGTTGCACTGACTCTTGCGATGCTTGTCCTTATTGCTGTATTTTCAGGCAAAGACACACTGTAAGATGTTGGAGAAAACAAAGGTCGTAAGTCATTTGTATCCAGTACCTGCACCCTGACCTTTGTGCGTGTTTCAGCATTGGTGTTTTTTTCAACTGCTTTAACAGTCAGCATGTAATGGTCTTTCACCTCTCTGTTAAGTATAGCCGTGTTTCCTCCCTTGGTCCGTATTCTCAAAAAGCAAAAGTTTCCAAGAACGTACTCCTCAGCTTTGAACAAGTTCTCAGTATCACCAGAAACAATTTTGTACCTTAGATCCCACAGTGGATTTGTAATGTAAATACCCATTTTCACTGGATGTCCAACATATGTCTTGGCTGCAGAATTCTCATACACAGTGGCATTATACTGTACTTGTGTAAATTGCATTGGTGGAGCATTATGTGGCCTTGGATTTGCTTCACAGTTTCCAAAATGCTGCACCAGCAGCAGTAGCAGCAAAAGCATAGTCAAGTGTCTTCCCATGGCAGCAATTACAAAAAACACCTGAAATAAGAGAAAGAAATGTTAACGCTACTGATCTCTCAAATATCATTCAAATAACCTTGATGCCTACTTTAGAGCTCATGTTTGCAAGAAAGCTAAAAGTAACATATCTAGGTTATAACCTTTTTTTTCCCCCAGAAAGTTCCAATGTGATTTAAATGATTTAAAAGGCAATAAACAGCAATTGAAAACAAGAATATTAGCACTGGAGTATTATAATGACACAATTCTAGATGCAACGTGTAATTCCAGCTTCTAAATACATGAGAGTTCTAGTTCGATTGTTTCCTACAAATACTGCATTATTTCAGTTATAAAAGCTAATCTAGCAAATAAACATGAATTTGATTTTGTGGACAGGAACTTGAGGGCGAGGAAGGGAAGAGATAGTTATTCCTTATCCCTGCAATTGCTTATCACTTATTCAAACTCAAATACTAAATACTAACCAGCAAATACTTTGGATTCATTTAGAAACTTAAAGCTAACACATTAGCATACCTTCTTATCATATTTATTTATAGTTTAAAAGTTTTCTGAGTAGTATGTATGCCTAATTAAAAAAGAACAAAAATATTGCTGTAGCATATCAAAARCTACAAACTTCATTTGAAATACTTCATGAAGCAACATTGTTAAAAGAAAGATGGCAGCAGCATCTACTTTAAGTGAACAAATTAGAGAGATTTGAATTAAACTGGAGTTTATATTTGGCTTTTACTTCAGTCCTCTACTTCATCCATATTATTCTGCTTTTTGATAGAAGATTTTCTTTCCTTACTTCATTTAGGTTCTTAATAGTTTAAGTCAAATGATGCTGAAATAAATTGCAAGAGTTGGTTTAAAACTGTCATTAATTTTCTCTTGAATCTTCAACATACCCTTCCAGCACCTGCTCCAAGAATTATATACAACTACAAAGCTATTTGCATATACTGTATTCCCTCCAGCTACGACAGCTTTTATAAGAGGAGCAGAGTATCATAATAAACATTCTTCTCAAGCATCACTAAGTTGTGAAACCCATCAATAGAGAGGATGAGACATATTCCTTTATTCTCCTCTCAGAATAGCTCTGAAACAAATTAGCATCATAATCTACAGGAACAGGAATCTATCAGAATAAGGCTTGTTATGTGTCTTTTAAGCACTCTCCAGAAACGACAGATAGGGAAACAGCCTGGCACAGTAAGACAGACATGAAGACATGACATCATTGAATTTCCTTGCTGAAAGAACTCAGAATATAGTTCCCAGTGTCTGAATCCAGGCAGGATTGACTGCAACAGGAAGAGAGTCAGAAATCTCAAGAATGAGACTGTTCTGGATCCCTCTCTTTATCCAGATTTATAGCACCAGTTGTTATTCCCAAAGTCTCACAGGATGACAAATCAAAGTTTCAGAATGTTTCCTCAACAAGCCCAAGTTTTCAAAAGAAAATCTCCAGGGAAAATTTATTTTCAGCAAGTAAAAAGCAATTTAGCCCTAACTTGGGTTCATAATTTTAATCAAATAATACACATTCTTTCACCTTTCCTATTTATTCTAATTATTTTCTTATTTCTCTTTTAGCATATTCTTCCCTGCTCAGTCTTTATTATGTAACTAGTTCACAGACAGTAATTCCCAACTGTTCTCCTCTTTCATTCTTCCTGAATTTGTCTCCCACTTTTTACCTTGTTTTTCCCCCGCCTTTGCTGCCAGCCCCTCCTCAAAGCCTATCCTCCCACTGGTTTGTTCTCTCCAGTTCAAAAGATACTACATTACGTTGTTTCCTTCCCTCACTCCCATTTCTTTTCTGCAGCGTTTATCTCTCCTCTAATTTATACCTATAACAGAYACCTGAAAGATCACACTGGCTGCAATTCCATGGACTGCTTCTGTGCACTAAGAAGTATTAAAGCAAATTAATCTGCTTGCGCCAGCAGTTTACTCTAAAAATTCAAATCACGGCTATTAGTGAGGCAGTGATTTTTTAACAGAAAGACTTAAGATTCAGATCCACAAATCCATCCAAAACAGTTGAGCAACTATAACTCAGTCAGTACCTTTTAGGAAGAAAAAAGAAAAATGTGTGCCYATTTTTCAAACCTAAGAATTAAATCACATGATTAAGACGTAAGAAACAGCAAAATGTGTGCAACTTTCTAAGCTAGAATCACTACTTAAAAGTTCTTCAAGCTAGATGAAGGAAAGGTGTTTGTTAATAAGACTGTCAGCTTGAAATAACCACCATGTCAGCAGGTTAACAATATTATTCCACCCCTTCTCCCTTACCTACTCTTTTTCCTAAGGTATAATTTGTTCTGGGAATAAACAGGCACTTGGGTCTCCAGAGCCTCCTCCTCTTACTCGAATGAATACACTGCTAAATAAATCTAAATAAATTAACATTTCCATCAAAAAAATGCATTAGTGTAGTTAATAACTGTCAATATAACTCTTTTACTATGACAAATGAAACAAGCTCTGCTCCATTGGATAAATACAGGTGGCAAAGACAAAATGCTCATTATCTTTCATCAGTGAAAACCTTCCAAAACTTTAGGAAAAGAAATTTAGGAGACCGCTCTCTGTGAACCTCTTGTTTTCTTTTTACAACCAAGGTAATTCTTCACAGGTCACTTCCACGTAATTCCTTGAATTTCSAGGCATCATTTTGCACTCACTTCCAAATTTAAGACAAACTTTAGGCCTATAATCTGCTAGTTATCTGTTTTCTAGCAAGCAGCATGCTTTTGGATTCTGTATTTAAAAGGTGGTTATTAGCTCTTTTACTCAGGCTTGTTGGATTTGAGGGAGCTGTTTGTTTATATATATGTATATATATATATGTATATATAGAGAGAGAGAGAGAGAGAGAGATTGATTAAGGCTTATGCTGTGTAGCTTTCTCAATTGCATTGGCATTTTTTTCACCTCTGATCCTGTGGTATATGCACCTGTCTGTATATATTATCATTTTGTCCCCATATCTAAGAAGCACTAGATACAATATGCATTAGACTATGTTAAGATATTCAAACTCCTCATTAAAATTAGAGTTGAACAAATGGGGAGGTTTTACTATTAACATAAATATTTCTTCTGTGTCATAATACCATAAGTATTTTTTACTTACTTTCTGTAATAACTTCAAGTCTGCTTAGAATAGGCCAAGTGCAGGCTATTAAACATGAGATGACCATCAGTTAAAGAATCCAATCCTCAGCAGCAACTCCATAACCTGCTCATGTGCAATATACAGCTTGAAAGTATCTCCCAACTGAACAGCTAGCAGCATTCAATTAAAAAAAAAAAAAAGGGGGGCTAAATATTTCTGTAATATTTCTGGGCCTGAACATTATGATATTAAACACTTTTTCCATCTTGTATCACTATTTAGAGAACTACTGCAGACTAGAAAATGTTGATGTAAGATTATCTGGAAATCAATATAAAATTTTGATAAAGTGTCAAACAGTGTTAATTAACTGCTGAGGGAAGGTATGAAAGTGTTAAGAAAAAGTGATAATGCACTAGGCAAAATCAGATGGATCACTACAGTGAGCAAAAATGACTACATTTCAAAAATATTTTAGCCTAAGGCTATACTTTGATCTCCTCATCTTTGGAATATCACCAGTTTAAGATTTTTCTACATCCATTTTCAAGACATAATCCAACTTTATTGCTTTACTTATATGCATATTTAACACAGGTAATTCATAACACAGGTAACATCATTTGTATATGGAAAAAAATGCTAACACAACTTAGAAATATGAAGTTGTTTAATAATAAAAGTAGCAAAAGAGCCCACTAATTTGGACTAGCAGACCTCAAATTCATGCCTTATAAATAAATGAAGACAATTTAGATAAGGCACCAGAACAAGACTCCAAATAATTCCAGAAGGGCATCCTGTAAGCCTAAACCACTCCTTTCATGTTAGCAGAACTAGAATCCAACTGTAGCCCAGCCTGTTGTTACCCTTGATCTAGGGAAACACTGAAGAACATTCTGAGGACTAAAAGGGCTTCTAATGTGCTTGTCTACTGAAATCTCCCACTAACTTTAACCAAGGGATTTGGGGGGTTGGTTTTCCTCTTATCCTCTCTCTTTTTAAAAAAAGAACAAGTTAGAAAAAACATCAATTAATTTCAAAGGTCAGTTTTGATCAGTATATGCGACTGCTAGCGTTTGACACATGTGCACACACATAGACTGTAAAGTTATTACTGCCGTGACTAAACTGTCATGACAGTGTCCCCATTGTGGAAGCCTAAGGGATCACGTGGCTTTGGGCTGCCCTGACCATGCAGCTACACCTACTCTTTCAGTGGCTTAAAAGAAATCATGCAGTCTGACTGGAAATGCTTCAGATTTAACTCTTAAAATATTTAAGTTTCCAATTAATAAAACTTATTTATATCTTTTGTAAATAACAAAAAGGGTCTTTTTTTTTTCTTGTTGGGGGGTACTATTTACTTTGATATTTGGAATAGTAACACATGATGAAAGTATATCGTAATGTTACTTTATTAAAGCTGGTAAGTTGTTCAGAAAGTGTACATTGTCATGGAGATTAATGGTAACAGTTTCAACTTGTGATTGAACTTCTGACTAAAAGTTTTATGTTTCTATTTTCCCACTTTTTGAGTTAACCTTACGAGGTTCTTTGTTTTATGCTTCTGAGATCTTTGCTGAATAAACTTCTAAAGTTTAAAAGGAAACTAGCAGCTGTATCTATATACCACACAAAGAATTTGAATCCYGAAGCATAGAAGTTCCACACAGAAAATTTTGACAATCTATAGGACATACTTGCTAGAGTATTAGATCGACTCTAGATTGACATTAGTCAAAAGCATTTCTGTATATCTCCTGTGAGTGAAAAAGTTCAGTCCAAACTTAGTGAGATGACAGTTTAAAATTTCACTGAGTTAGCTTTCAGTTTTAAGTTAAAAAATAAAATTACAAGCTACAGATCTCTGTCTTTCATTTTTATG